CGGATGCGGCTTTCAGCTGTCCCCTAAACAAAAACGTGTTCTAGTTCAGTGAAAATGGACGTCATACTAAACTCCAAAACATATATTGTTAACTTTAGTTTCGTATGTGGAAAATGTCTAATTTGTTTGAAGATTACAGTCTAATTACACAGGAACGACTAAAAGTGTACAGACCCACAGTCAATCACCATTCTTATTAGTTTAGTAAATTTTGAAGTCAATCAAATAAATCATACATGTAATTGATTTGACATTGCATATTTATCAAAATTAAAGTCCCAATACTCACGAAATACAAAAGAAGAAATCACCAAGCCGTCATTGTCATTTTTTTTAGTAAATCACTCATGGCATACTTGAAAAAAGAAAAATCACAAAAATACTGAACTCCGAGGAAAATTCAATCGGAAAGTCCCTAATCACATGGCAAAATCAAATGACAAAACACATCAAACGAATGGACAACAACTGTCATATTCCTGACTTGGTACAGGCATTTTCAAATGTAGAAAATGGTGGATTGAACCTGGTTTTATAGCGCTAAACCTCTCACTTGTACGACAGTCTCATCAAATTCCGTTATATTTACAACGATAGTGTGTTGTTGACGTGTGGGTGAAGATTATGATTTTAATTCTAATTTCTAATTCTCCAGTCGTTCCGTTGTTTGATATAGTCGTGCCTTTGGGTTAATCATGTTTTATGGACTTCCCCTTGTAATGTTCCCTAGAGTTTGGTCTTTTTTGTCATATTCCTTGGAGTTTGGTATTTTTGTATATACATATTTTTCGCTGTCAAAGATAATTGTAATATGTATTTCAAGATTGAAAACCCAAATGAATTCAGGACATTTCTTCTCTCTTACACTTACATTTATCAATTTCTCCCTACTTAATAGGTGTAATTCTTTTTATTGTTTTTAAGATTTGTATCGCAAATTATATAAATTTATTTGAATGAAAAACGATCTAAAATCATTATAACCGAAGAACGGTTTTTTTTTATAGACTTCTATCAATTGTTATACAGGGGAGAAGATATCAGGGGACAGTCAAAAACCAGAAGTCAAAGTTAAATAAACAGAACAATCGAACAATCGTTATGGTGAAAAGAAAAGAGACGAACAGATTATAAAAAGTACACGAAACATTACACACCCCAAGTAAAGATTGCGAAATAAAATGCTGGTGAACTCAAAGTGCTGTACTTGTTGAAATAAACTTTATTCGGGAACGAAAATCTACAATGAGTATTCAGGTTTATGTATCAGTATGATAATGGAAACAGCAGAGTAAAATATGTAATAAAACTGATCGGAATACTTAAATTAACTAATGTAAATAGAAAAGTTATAATCATGAGAAATTTATTGTTCTTTTGGATTTTTAAACATGATTATAATGGAAACTACAAAATTAAAATACTTTGTTAGGAATGATCGGATTCTGTATTGAAAGTTATATATGTTCCATTGATTCTATTTTGTTTTAATCAGGACAAATAACACGCAATCGAAAGTAAAGCATTCGTTTAGAAGAACCCTTAAATATCGTCAGTCAACTGAGGTGCAATATATGAGTACGCAATTCCAGCTCTCTAAGTTGGTGTGCGAAAATATAAGTCGATTTGCAAATGTTGAAAGAAAAGAAAAGTGATGGTATGACGACTACGATAGATTAAGCGTATCCTTGGTCATCTGTGACACATAATTATATTGCACAACAGAAACCAAACCAAGATGTCGTCCGTAAAACTTTTGAAAAGGTGATCTCACTTAAGTGCCAATATTCCTAAGAATCAGGCAGTGGTGAAAACATGACAAACAAAAATCCACCCAAGTTGACATTATATTATGTTCAAATTGTATAATGGTACATGAATATAACATTCGTTTCCTTTTCCTGTTCTGGTAACTCAAGATATAATTTGGTTGAAATGCACTAGAAATTAACAATTAAGGGGAGCTAACTCCGTAATTTGCTATCATTCTAACCAAAAGTTGTTTAGAGACTTCTCGAATTACCAGACACGCACAATCTAAAGACCTTCTATTTCTAACTCAGGATGAGATTAACTTCAAAATAGGATGGTTAGGAAGGTGGAATTTTTTCGGCCATGTTTTGAAATTTTTCTAAATTGCCTGATTCTTACAAAGACTGGCACTTAATCATTACAAAGCATTGGGTTCTATAGTTTCAATGTAAGCACTATTACTGTAACATGGGAACTGTCATAAGAAATGCAAGAAGGCTATATATTAAATATACTTCATATGCAGCTACTGCTGAAATGTTGCTACATACAATGGACACACACACACACATATTTACCAAGATTGACTTTGATGACAATATACAAAAGAAGATTTCTTATAAAAAAAGAAATTCGGAGTATTCTACAAAATATTTGATGCAGACAAAACATATACTTTTTCAACCGAGATGTTTTTCAAATTAAAGGACTTTCTTCATTAAAATTTCAATCTAGTGTATCGTGATTCATTTACAGATAAAACAGACTGAATCGTTTAAGCAGTCGATCATGGCGATGTGTGTTATATGGAAACTATTATCAATTAGATTCTTAATTATAAATTACATACCGAATGTTATTATGTTTTATTATCGTACCAATTTTATTATTATCCCTGTTGTATTACCATACCTGTTTCATTATCGTGGACGATGCAAACAGAAGACCACTTTAGATAGACTATCACAGACATCAAAGACACAGCTACTCCGGTCACGTTTTGTAGTAATGGTTCCCGGAACAAATAGTTTCCTTTTGGCAATAAGCATTCAGTAGAAGTGGTATTTTTACTCATTATCCTTTTTCACCTGAACACATAAAACGTTAATCTTCTTCTTGTTTTTTGCAGTCCTCCTTGTTAAAAGAAGTGATTTATTTAACCATTATCCTTTTTCACTTGAACACATACCAAATTACTCTCAAGTTTGAATTTTGTAGTCTATTCAATGAAAAGACTTTTTAGTTTATCAACCGATATCCATTCTCACCTGAACACATAAAACATTAATCTCAACCTTAAATGTTGCAGTTTATTTAGTTAGTAAGGAAACTGTCGACCATCCGATTCATTCCGTCACAGTAAACATAAAGCTGAAACTATTAGGTTATAAAATAAATCAATCGTTATTTATGTCTCATTGGCAATCATACCACATCTTATTCTTATAATGACAGATTTATCATAATTAATTTGAATACATTAACACAACTTTGATAAAGCAATCTCGAAACCAAAGTTGTTTTACAGCATGACAAAAATAAAACGTGTGAGATCACTATAATTTCCATTCTAGGACACAATTACGCATTATCTATGATTGATTGTTGCTTGCTTAACGTACAGTGGCAATTATTTCATGCATAATCAGGACGGATTATCTTTGAAGGTGAATCCTTTACACATAATTTTGGTTTTTATTTTTGTAGTCATATTGTTGAAAAGAATACAACAGTTGTTAACAGAGGAATGTATAGCCCTTTTTGGGTCTCCAAAAGTACCCCGTAATAGATCCCATATACAAACAAAACATTTCCGACGCAACTAGATATATATCAGAAAGTAAAATAACAAAAATACCGAACTCCAAGGAACATTCAAAAGAGAAAGCCCATTATCAAATGGCAAAATCAAAAGCTCAAACACATCAACCGAATGGAAAACAACTGTCATATTCCCGACTTGGTATAGGCATTTCCTTGTGTAGAAAATTGTGGATTAAACCTAGTTGGTTTTATAGCTAGCTAAACCTCTCACTTTTATGACAGTCGCATAGAATTCCATTATATTGACAATAATGTGTGAGCAAAACAAACATACCTAATAGGTACAAAATGTAAAAAATTGGGGTACAGCAGTCAACATTGTGTTATAATCTCAATCACTATTAAAACAAACAACTATATCAGCAAAGAAAATCAAAATGGCATTTAGACACTTTATAGATAAAGCACATTACGTAAATGACACACAAGTATACAAAAATACCAAAAAAAAAATTACCATAATAAAATAACACAATGGCGGGATGTATAAATACTGAGCCAGGCAAAAGGATATTATCAAAAATGGACTAAACATTAAAGGTTAAAATATACAAAGCCAATAAAAAGAACCCTATAACATGTATTGAAGATGATTAACAACGTCAGTACCTAGAATATATACCTCAAGACTACCATGTATTATTTGTAAAGCTGATACGGAATATTTATCAACAATGTTTTGGTAACTTCCAATGAACTTTTTTTAGATAAAGGACGAGACGTTCTTTGACATAACCCTGGTTCATCAACTTTCTGTTCAGACACTGGTGACGTTTTACATGGTCTGAGTAGAAGCTGCAAACTCTTGAATACCGATTGAGTTGGGAAATGTATATTCCATATGCAGGCGAAGTTGGTATATTGTTGCTAAAGTGGGGGAAAATTTGTAATTTCCAAATTAAAATCGTCTCGCTTGTTATAGATTCTGGTACTGAGATGACCGCTTTTGTCAAATTCGAGGTAAAAGTCTAAAATGAGGCGGGGGAAGCCGTGTCTGTTGTTTCTTTAATTTCTAGTTCTGGAGGATATATTAATGGAACCCAATCAGAAAAGAACACAAAAGAAGTAAGTAACAAGTTAGGATAATCTCCATAGGTAGTTCGATGGCTTCCTTGTTATTTTCTCATGCCAGATATATATTTGTCAAATAATCATAACTGTTATATCCAAATTTTCAATATTCAACATAAAAGACGAATTAAAAAACGGGCTTTAGATATAAGCGTAAATAACTGTCAGCTTTGTTCTGATGATTTCCTAAACTGATGAATAAACAGTCTGTCTGTTATACAGAATAAATGATGATTTTCGACATCCACATACATTAGCTGAACACTAAGTGTTAAGAACTCTAACATCAAGTGTTAAAAAATGAAACACAAAGGCATTAAAAACTGAACACCACACTAGTTGATGAACACTAGTGCAAACATTTGGAACACCATTTTTGACTTAGAAAATGCATTTGTTTTTTTATTTGCAGGAATCGTTAGATTAAAATGTTTGAATTAGGAACCGGTAGCCAATAATCCCCAAAAGGTCATTTCTGCATGCTATAAAGTGGTGGAAAAAAGAAAGATGTTGAAAAAAGGTATGACAATATATGTATATTAATAGCTTATGTGGGTGTATCATTTCTATCTGGTTACCTTGGGTCAAGAAATCGACTTTTGTAATTTATAATGTCAAAACTTGCATTTCATTGCTATAGAATATCAATTTGTACACTAGTATATATCGACATTAAAGCATAACAAGCATTGCATAATTTGATGCTTTATGAAAAACTCTCTTCTATTAATTTTTAATTTTATTTTGCAGGATATATAGGCTCATAGACATTCCTTGTTGTGGAGGATTTTGACATTGGAAGTTGATAACAACACATAAAATGCCACCCAGTTGATAGCTTTAAGTGAAGATGCACTGAAAAGTGGAGCGTACATTGTATGTGATCGTACAAGAACTGTTGGAATTTGCAAACTTTTAAACTTTCATTGTGACAAATACCTATATCATAAACTATCTAATTATCACATTGACATGCTTTTTTGGTTAGAATACAAATGATGTTGCAACTATCTAGTCATGTAGGGAAAAATCATTATTTGTGATATATATTTAAGTCAGTTTAAAAACATTATGTATGTGATTTCACTGACTGTTACTTGTGATATCATAAGGTATCTGGTGTACTTTTCTTACATATAATATGCTCATTTGATTACATAAAGAATTACTTGTTAAAATATGTTTTATTGTTATATTTTGCCTGATTGAATATAGTTTTTATAACAGTTTATTTAAGTTGAGTACTTATGGAAAATTATGTACGCTTGAAAATAGAACATGTTCCACATTTGAACACCATCACTTTGAACACTTATGTCAACTGTTCTGAAAGTTAACGTCTGGTGTTCTGAATCTTAACACTTTGGCTTTAAACATGTTCTATGTTTTCAAAAAGTGTTACGTGGCTGTTGAACGCGTCGACGTATTAAGATTTTGAACATTCGGACACGTTAAATCGTTGAACACTAAGTGTTAAGAACTCTAACATCAAGTATTCAAAAATGAAACACAAAGGCATTAAAAACTGAACACCACACATTCAATTGATGAACACTAGTGTAAACATTTGGAACACCATTGCCGGCAATTTCTTGAAAAGTCTGACTCCAAATTCAACAAATATGTTGTCAATAAGAAACTCCAGCATACTGATCACTTGTTCCTTCATGTTTTACCTTTTTGTTCACTATTAACAATATGCCGTATGGTATCCCAAAGCAATAAATGTATAGCGTATGCTTCCATTTTTATACTGAAAAGCATTGTGGATTATTTCTTTTAGACGAATTTTCAATTTCACATGGGGAATGGTGGTATAAAGTGTTGACAAATCAAAGGTTTTGATAGAACTAAAAAAGGATACAACTTAAAAAGCTTAACATTATATAGAAAATCAAGTAAATGCGATTTTTGGTTTCTGACGTCTGATGTTGACAGTTGTTTCCAAGTTGCCACAAAAAGAAGCTGACGTTGTCATGAATAGATCCTAGAAATTGTTTTTAGACCAAAGAACATACTAATAAAATAATTTCTCATTAACAAAACTGTGTGTTGATAAAGATAATGATAACGAGGAATATTATTTCTTTATTCCTCTTTAATAAATGTTTGAAACGCGGACAAAAAAATATTGTTGTCGAATTCGTAGCTAATGCTCCTTTAACATTGCACATCAATGTCCAATTTCAAATATTTCTGAAAATTATTACAATCATGACAGATCATTTTTGTATATAATTCCTTAGAGGTTAGCTTTTATGGCTCAGGCATTGACCTGGAAAACGAGTTATCTCGATTAATTAATTGCAAGAACAAAAAAAATGATAAAGCAATATCAATTTTAACACCATAGCCTTGGTAAAACTTAAATATTGATGATTATGTTTGTCTTTCCATTTACTTTTTTAATGTCCGTTGTGTTTAAATTGATATACGGTTTTCTCTATTATTGACAGATCATCACATCAGCTTATCCTCATTCTTTATTCATATTATATGTTTGAAGACATTTAAAAAATCGTATTGTTTGGAATGGATTTTTTTATTAGAAAGATTTTCCATTATCTTTCTAAATTGTTACAAGTCAAAACTATTTTGAGTATCTTGTTTACTAAAGGATGGTAGCTTCTTTTTTTTTTGGCAGTTAAAACATTTCATTTTTACACAGTGCAGTTAAACTGTTTTTCCTTGAATGTTCTTTATGTGCAACAGATTTCTTCTTACGAACAACTATAATATTGGGCAGGTTAATTAGCGAGTATTTAAAATGACAAACACACCATTGTTCAATCAGATTTCTATTTCTGTTATTTAGTATTAAAAATGCACCGTTTCAAATAAAATTGACTATCATTCGTTGGATTTTGGACGTAGAGCCATTTTAAAAATTCATTGAAACATCGATCAATTTGTATATTATGCTGAAAGGTTCTGTATGAATAAGAAGAAATTTGCCCAAGGGAGATGGAATCTTATTTTCCTAGTAATTTCTTAATTATCAACGGGCAATTTTTATTACTACAGAATTCATCTAGAGGTTAAAAAAAACAATTGAAACATAAATGTATAACAACAGACAATGATTGGCTATGTTCATGAATTGGAATATACACAAAAATGCCTGGCAGAGAAAATCTGATAATTTTAATATCTCAAACCTCTCTCTTTTTAATCTCGTAGTAAGATTGCCAATGAGACAAATGTCAATCAGAGTCCAAATGACGTGGATATAAGCATTTATAGGTCACCGTACGGCCTTCAACAATGGGGAAAACCTATGCCATATAGTCAGCTATAAAAAGCCCAGATGCGAAAAATGTAAAACAATTCAAACGAGAAAAATAGCAGGATAATTTATAACAAATAATCTACGAAAAACAAATAATGATAGACATATACAAACGATTACCACTGAATTAGAGGCTCCTGACTTGAGACAGGCATATAAAAATGTGGAGAGGTTAACAAAAACCTAAAAATAAAATCAGCATAGGAAATGCACTTAATCAATAATACCGGTATCAGAGGTATTCAAAATCCTGCATCCGCATCTGGGTACAAAATTAACATTAACGCAAGAATATACAAAATAATAATTAACATTATCGTATCAAATAATGATTGGGTTACTGAAAGCAAGCTCAAAGTACTTTACTTCATGATATCAAATTATGCTGTCTTATAAACTCTGATATCAGTGACTGTACGTCGTAGTAGAACTTAAATGTACTTTAATGATAGTAGTCAATAAGTTGCATCATTGAATCCTACATAAGAAATTTTATACTGAAATACACTTTTTGAACGCAACATCATAAACATCGTAATGGGACAACAACAGTTCAATACTGCATGCATGCATGTGTCGGAACTGCTTTTTTGAATGGGTACAATGTGTGACACATTTTGAGCTTTCAATTGTGTTACAACAGGCGCGTTTTTTGTCATTACGGATGATTTGGCGTGCCGACGGATCTTTGTTAATCTCTGTACAAATTGTTCACTTTTATAGACTCGGGACTATTCAGAGTTTGATATATCTTATAGAAATCTGTCTATTACTGAAGAATGTATGTTTACCTCTAGATGATAAAAATGTCTGTTTTTTGAGTTGTTGGCTTACTGTCTCGTTAACGTATATTCTACATTTCCTATAATTCATCTCATACACCGTTTATGTAGCTAAATATCAGTGCAGCTGTTTGACTATATTCTTATGTCAGTTGTATTAGATCAAACATTTTAAACGATATTCCCGAAAGATGGATTGATTGATTGATTGGTTGGTTGATTGGTTCATTTAGGGATGGGTTGCATTTTTTGTATTTCTTTTCGTTTTGAGATTTCTTACTATTTCTGTTGCGCAATACTGAGTAATTCGGTTTTCGGACTTTATATACTGTTTAACGCGCCCTTTTCATTTCATTGAGATTTCACACACCAAACTTGTTCGACAACTTTACGTTCAACACGAGTGACGAGGAAGACCAACGTGATGTTACTAACCGAGATAGTGAACCGCCGAATCAAACAGACCCAGGTAATCATGTAGGATTTTCTCCTGAAGACGCCCTTTCTTTGTTTTCCCGTCAACTTGATACTGCTTTAGTTAGACACAAGAAAGAACTTTTCGCACAAATTGACTTAAAGATTGGCAATAATAGTTCACTGGAAAAGAGTTCTCGCGTACCACCAATCGCTCCCAAGTTCAAATTCGAGGGCAATGGAAGGCAGCACGAGTTCAATACCGCTCGTATAAATGAACTTAGCAGAGCGACAGATTTTCTAGATCGTGGTTCTGTCGGCGCAGCAGTTAAAGCCTTGGAGCAATCAGAAGCAGCTTTAAAAGAAAGGAACAAGCTACTCCGCATAGCCGACAAATATGGTTGGGACGTAGTTGAAGAATTCATGGACGACCCGTTAACCGAGAGTACAGAAGAGGCAACTAGGCTAAAGCAGGCAGAATATAGAGCGAAAATGAAGAGGAGAGAAAAATCTGTAAAAGTCGACCGCCCGAACCCTTATTACAGGAACCCAGTTGAAGAAAAGGCTACTTCTGATCTTTTTCGTCGCCCTAGCGCAGCATATACAAAAGACTCATCTAGGAGCAGGAGTGCAACTGATGGAAAAAGCGTTTACACATCAAGCGATTACTTTGGTGGAAAGAAAGGAGCAACCCGCTGTTACTACTGCAACGAGGAAGGTCATTGGGCCTATCAATGTCCCAGGAAAGCAGGCAGATATCCCCAAGAGAAACAGCAGCAGTGAAACAGTTAAGTACCAGTTTTATAATTTACACGAGCAAGATTATGAATATGAAAATTCACTCAAAGATAAAACCCCATTTTATGTTGGTAGCCTTTACGAAAAATTTTCATTTTGGAAAGATATTTTAAAAGCAAACAATTTTGTTCTCAACGTAATTTCTAGTGGTTATTTAATACCTTTCTATGAAAATCCTTCATCAGTTAGATTGAACAATAATACTTCTGCTTTTAAACATTCAGTATTCGTTGAGCGTGCTATTAATAAGCTTTTAGAGACGGGGGCAGCTATTGAATGCAAAGATCACATTCCTTTTGTTATCAACCCACTAACCGTATCAGTTAACGCCTCAGGTAAAGAAAGGTTGATCCTAGATTTAAGGCACGTCAATCAATTTATAGAAAAAAGAAAATTTAAGTTTGAAGGTGTATCGGAGGCTTTACAATACACAATTAAAGACGGATACATGAATAAATTTGATTTAACGAGCGGGTATCATCATGTCAGCGTACATAAAGATCATCAGACATATTTAGGATTTTCGTGGAAATTTCAGAACACAACTAAATACTTTAAATTTTCAGCTCTCCCATTTTGGTTATCTACAGCAGCACATGTGTTTTCAAAAGTTTTACGTCCTGTTGTCAAGCATTGGCGTTCGCAGGGCCTTAGGGTTATATTATACCTTGATGATGGTTGGGGAGTAGACTGAGTCTAATGCACAATCTTGTAAAGTGTTATCTAATATCTTGCAGTTAGATCTTAAATCCGCAGGTTTTTTCGTTAACCAAGAGAAAAGCGTTTGGAAGCCTACTCAAAAATTAACTTGGCTTGGTTTCTATTGGGATTTGCATAATTCAACTTTGGATCTTCCTTTAGATAAAATTATTCGTTTTAAAAAAGACATCGATAA